TTTTCTTTTATTAATTCTACTTTCAGGATTACATTCTCATTGCACAGGGGTTTCCATATCTTCACAACATATTTTAGTTAATTTTCCTGATTTTTTATTAATTGCCTTTGTTGACATATATATGCAAGTCTATCAAATAAAATTTTTATTCTTAAACCTAAAGTTTTAGGTATTCCAATATTATCTCTAACATATTTTTCAAATTCTATTTTAAAATATATTCCCCATGAATCTGGTAACTTATTATAGTACATGTTTTGGTATACTTCTTGATTTTCATTACTATAAAATTGAATATAATAGTAATTTTTAAATTCACAAGTATATTCTTTAATTTTACACATATCACATATTGTTAAATTTATTAATTTTATTCTAGCATTATCTCTTTCTCTTATTGATTCTCTTTCAGCATTTCTTAACCAATTTTCTCCTAAAAATTCATCTGAAATATATTCTACTAACTTTTCTATACCTTATCTATCTGACTTTATTATTTCTGTTTGTACATTTTTTTTACTAATGTTTTTGTATTATTGTTTATTTCTTCCCACCAATTTCTAACATCTCCTTCAAAGGATGCTATAAAAAATCTATTCTTCTTTCAGTACTTTCCCATGTGTCATCTTTATTATATAAAAAAATAATATTATTGAATCTACCTAAGTTAATAAGACTTTTTTAGTATCTATTTTATAATTTAAATCTAGTTTTGTTTTTCCATGATTAATTGGTTTATCATAATTATCATTTAATTCAAACCTATCTTTATATTTATTTCTTTTAAGTGGTTATCTATCTCTTACTTTATCACAAAATTGTCTATATGGTTTATTATATATAGGTGCATAACTTTCATTTGTATTATGTAATTCATATTTAGAGGTTCCTGGTAAATTAGGTCCTCTTCCTGTATTCATTAAAACTTGGTATTCACTTATATCAGTTAAACTTAATTAATCAAAATTTTCTATTAGTAAATCTAATTCTTCATTCATTTTTATCTTCTTTTTCTTCTACTTTTAATTTTCCTAATGATTTTTCTCTAAATTCTTCTTCATTTTCTAATATTTTTGGTAATATATTCTTTCATCCATATTTCCTGTTTCTATCGCTATATTTTCTTTTTCTATATGTTTCTTTCCTATTCGAGTCATTTCTTTTTTTATAAATTTTTTTATCTTTATTTTTATTATTTTATTTTAATTCTCTAATTTCAATTTTTAATATATTTATATTATTTCTTATTTCATTTACTTCATTTCTTAAATCTTGTACATAATTTATTAACATTTTTATTAATGATTTTAATTCTTCCATATATTCACTTATTGACATCTTAATTTTTTCTTATTTCTGACTCATAGGTTAATTTGTATCTTTTATCTTCCTTTTTATCTATTATTTTTTCAAATCTTCTCTTAACTGTATCTGAATCTACTAATTCTTCTTTTAATATAGTAAAATATCTACTCTCAAGTCTTAATCTTTCACATTTAAATTTTATTAATTGTCTATTATTTGATATTCTCATTCCTTCTTGTATTAACATTATATTTCGTATTTCCTCTTGTATTCTTTCCATTTTTATAAGTGATTTATTTAATTTTAAATGTGTATTATTACTTGCACTCATACTTTTCTTTGTAATATAAATTATTTTCTTCATCTTCATATATATTAATAATTTTTTCATAGTATATGTCTTTTATTTTTTCTATTATTTATTTTTCTAATATTTGTTCCTTTATTTCTTTATGCAACTTTTTAATTATTGTTAGTGTCATTATTTTTAATCTATTATGTATAGGTATTAAAAATATATAACTACATTTCTCTTCTTCTAAACGCCAATAATTATCTATTTTTCTTATTTTAATTTCCATGATCTCTATGCTTTTATCAAGATGTAAATATTTGTGTATTAAATCGATTGTTATTTTAAAGATATATAATCTAGATATTCCTTTAATTTTCTAATAGTTAATATGTTATTTATTAAACTTATCTAAAATCTAAGTGTTAATCTAAATTTAAAGATTTTTACTTGTTCAAGTAATCTATTTTTTATAGGTTTTCTCATGATCTCTATGGCTTTGATACCAATAAGAGGGCTACTTAGAGCGAACAAAAATCAAATAAATCAAATAAAAAATATTAATCAAATAAATCAAATAAAAACTATAAAATTTCAACAAATATTTAATTTTAAGGACTAAAATAGAGGATTTCTATATTATAGTAAATTATTATGTAATATCCAAATGGAGGGCATTTTTGACATATAAATTGACCAAAGGTCATTTTGGAAAAGTGTTTNTTATAGTAAATTATTATGTAATATCCAAATGGAGGGCATTTTTGACATATAAATTGACCAAAGGTCATTTTGGAAAAGTGTTTCTTTTCTAAAGGCTATTTCCATGTATTTCCCCTCTAGTTGGCTCCTTGTTGAAAGGGGGGTAAACTCCTATTGACTCTCATCATGCGGTAAGGCCAAGCATGAAAAAATGTGTGGGACCGGCTTTTGGCAATTTGAAATTGAATGTGGATGTGTTGGTTAGTGGATTTAATCAACATAAGAAAATTATTTTTACGCAAAAGATTAAACATAAATGCAAAATGGCTCTTAGATCAACTTGTGGTCGTTGAAACATCTATTAATCCCGACTTATTCTATCAAAAAATCAGAATTGCACTCTCGAATCGAATGATAATTATAAAAGTAAATTATGATCAAATAACAATATCTTCCAATCATCATTCCACAAGTCAACCTCCGTTTTACCATCAATATGTTGAAAGCAACAAAATGATCGTTTTGCCCTTTCAACATGTATTGTCATCTTAAGTCCCATTTTCATAAAGTAAATCAACTGCGAACTAATAATAACATGAAATCTAATGATCCCATCATCAAACTATCAAGCTTAGGTTTAAATGTCTGTAGAAAATCCATCATAGTGACGATCATCGTGATGATTGAGGGATTTCATTATCGCAAGAATATGATCTCTAACTATTTCACCTCGATTCCTAAAGCATCAAGATCAATTTTCTATTTAGAATTTCACTCATTGGACCTCAAAGAACTTGAACTAGCATTGGAAGTACATTACTCGCTCAGGATTTAGGTGACCTGTTCGATGATCGAATAGAGTTTCATTCCCAGTGAACACAAATGAATCATCTACGTGGTTCCGTTTAATGTGCACCAAACATATTATTATTCTTACCCAAGGTCTAGACAAATCTCAATAAGAATAATTCACTTTTATCAACATAAAGCTACCAACATTATGTACCGATTCAAAACGATTTATTTTGATCACATTACAAAATGTGTCTCACTATAATTGAACCGTCAAGTATATAATTTGTGACATTGTGATCATGGGACTTTATATTATTGATAAAAATTAAAACACACACATAATCAAATATTAAATCATAATGTCGTTAACAAAATATTAATCGAAGGATATCAAGCTAACAGGATGCAGTCAGCAGAGTTGACACATGGATTGAGGGAGGTGAGTGGTGATTAGGGACCATGAGGGATTCGGGAGGGTGGCTATGACGGTGAGGTTGATTGCAAACTTATCTCCAGAGGATTCTCAAGCTGTTGCTCTTCGGGAGGGACATACTTTTGCTTGGGCTAATGCTCTATAGGTAAGCAAAGTGGAGTTTCATATATATATATATACACACACACATGGGCAGAGCCACGTTGAGACGAGTGTGGGCATATAGAGCAAAGTGGAGTTTTATATATATATATATATATATATATATATACACACACGGGCGGAGCCACGTTGAGACGAGTGCGGGCATATGCCCGCACTGAAATTTTAGGCCCAAACTTTTTTTTTTTTAATGGCAACAAGGGAGATTGAATAAAAACATGTTTTAATTTACATGGATTTTATTTTTAGGTAATATGATAATCTTAGTAAATTACATGACAATTATATTACAGATTATTCTAATTTATTAGATCAAAGGATGGAATTATATATTAAAACTCGAAATGAGAGAAATAGAAGAATTTAGAACTATCCCAATAAATTAAGGATATCTTGTGCAAATATGACAAATCCTTTCATTAAGGGTATTATAGACATTTTACCAAAAATGAATAGTAGTAGGCCATTTATAAAAATCTCCCATGGGAATGTTAAATGACAACATGGACACAAATGTAGTCCTTGTTTGAACCCCATTTTTTTCATCAAAATTCATTCTTCAACATTGATTTGACCTCATTTCAATCACATATTTTTTAATAAAATAATATTACACGTAAATTCAAAAAAATTTCTTATTTTTTAACCACACATTTCTCATCATAACACTATTTGAAAATGCATTTTTTTTTGAAGAAAATGGGGCTCAAACAACCCTGTAGTAAATAATTATACTAATGATTAACCGATTAAAAACGTTCATATTAACTCTTACATAGTTCCTTAGATGTCAAAGTGGACACAAACGACATTATATATTACGTTATATCATTTGAGTTAATTACTTCATTTATCACTGGAATTTGCAATAAATTTTAAAAATAGTCAAACAATATTTTTCTCACCGTACCAATTCACTTCGATCGAATTGGTAAACTATTTTTATTTCCACAAGTCAAGAGTTCAAAGATTGACCTCGTCTATCTTACCATATCATACCCTAGCCTCTCATCAAAATTAAAATAAATAAAAAAGAAAGAGAGAAAGAAAATGGTCGCTCAGTGGGGGTTGGCGCCCCATTTTTATGGAAAAATGAATTTTAGAATAGTAGATTGATGTAGAATGTGTTGATGAAAAATAAAGAAAATTTTTTAATGTTATTTTAATGAAAAATATGTGGTAAAAAAAAAAAAAAAATATATATATATATATATATATATATAATCAAACAGTGATCGGGTAGAAACCGCTTTTTGTGCCATTTCCGTAAATTTCCTTTTATATGTTAAAAAATGGAATCGGACATTGATTGGGCTTCGTTTTGGGCCAAGAAACTTCTTCTCGCATAAATACTGGCACAGTTCGTCGTGAACGAGGGCGAAACCCTTCTCTTTCACTCTCTCTCAAGCTGCTGCCTGCTTTGCACCGGTAAATAATTATCATTCGTGAATGAAATTGAGTAAATTTTATGTTCTTATCATTGTAAATTTCGCCTCGTCTTAGGTTTTTTTTCTTATTAGATATTGGTCCCGCATGTAATGTTCGTTATTGGGTCTATTACATATAAAAAAGTTTGTGATCAAAGACCGTCTGATTTTCTTGAAATTTATGTTTCCTGCTTGTGACTCATCATTTATTGTGTGTTTTGTTGTGTGTATGGATACGAATATACCCTAAGCCATCACTTTGAACCTTGGAAATTGGGGCAAAATTCAAAATGTCAAAGGTGTGTATTACAAAGAAACCTCCATTTCATGGTTTCTCTTTTAGGTTGGTGGTTTACAGAAAGTATAAGAAACGTAGTACCACTGCAAAGTGAAATGATCAAACTGTTAAAATTTTGGTTTGCTCTATTTCATTTGTGATACTATTTTGATTGTTGAGATTTAAAATTTTGAGTTAAATTTGACGATAGAAGACTGTTAGTGGAAAATTGTATTTCTTTCGGCAGTGTTTTTATATGTCTCTATTCGCACTTAGATTAAATGTAATATATTTTCACCATAAAATCAATCTTGGCAATATTTTAAAATAAATATCAGTTTATTTTAATATTCTGTAAAAAGTTTTGTTCTAATGATTAATTACAGACCAAAGGTCTTGAGCGGCCTCAAAAGATAAGAATTTTAAATGAAATTAGGTAATAAGATCCTTGGCTCATTTAGTATTTCTGGAATAATAATGGCCCATAACTATGACTAATTGTACATCTCACTTCTTAGATATTAGAGGAGTTGGGTATTTTATACCGTCTCTGTGATTTTGAATAATCTTTCAAGTTTACATGTTACCAAGAGCCCACCACGCCCCTTTTTTAATCTTCCTGTACGTGATTATCTTATGCATGATGCAGTTATCCACCTTTGAACAGTTTTTTCCCTTCAATCTGTTAAATATTTCAAAATGGTGTGGCAGTCTTAAACCTTCATATTTAGCTGCATAAACTATTTAATTTTTTTTACCTTCTGATTATTGCTGCTTGTAATTCCTTAAATTTTCTTGTGTTTGTTTGTTTTGCATGCATTAGTTAGATTTGGATTGTCTTTAATTTTTTGTGGAAAATTGAAATGGTCATGACCTTTGTTGCTACTCTGGAATGAAGGCGGTCAGACTCAAAAAGTCTTTAATCATTCTATATGAACAAAGACTCCAAGCATGTCTAGTAACCCGACTTTCGTAGATGAGGATGCTTCTTCAGGATCAGGAGATGAGGCAAACATGTTGGATGGACACAATAAACCTCAATCTGTGACGCCAAATTCAGGTCGACGCAAGAGAAGTCGTAAAGCTACAGGTGATGCAATAGTTGATGCTATGCTTGAAATAGCAGCCGCTTCAAAGATGAGGGCAGCCGCAATCACGAGGAATGAGGAGCGTTTTACTATAAGCAAATGCATAAGACTGTTGGACGAGATGCAAGGTGTTGATCAAAGTCTCTATTTTTATGCTTTGGATTTATTTGAGAATCCGACATCAAGAGAAACTTTCGTAGCGCTTAAGGTTGAGAGACGATTAGCGTGGTTGCAGGGAAAGTTTAGAGCTTCCTCAAGTACATCAGCCTGAGGAATATGATGTGCTTTTTTGCCCTTTTACTAATGGGTCCTCTACTTTATCTCAGATTTGTATTGATATTAGTGAACTTTGCTCTTTTGATGTTGTATTTGGTTTAACAGTTGTGATTAACGTTTTTCTTGAAATATAATCCTTGTTTTTCTTTTCCCATGATCTACTGATGTTGAAAAATCATGTAACCATGCATGTGTGTTGTAGTATACATCCCTATGTTTCAAAATCTATTTGTACAGATTCATCAGCCATTGTGGATGACTTAAACGTTGAATTGGATGAGATGGAATTAGTTGCAGCAGCTGCTTGTTACCACTACAATAACAGTATTACAAAGCGTCCTGTTCATAGCTTGTCTCCTTAACGATCTGGATTCTAGGCTGAAGTATGCAATGGCCATGGTGTTCTGTGTCAAGAAATGTTCAGGGTGGACAAAAACATGTTTCACAAGTTGAGCAAATGCTCTTCGACAGAGAGGCATGTTATGTGACACGGCAGGACTGCAAATCCTTTTTTCTCAGTTCAAATCCAGGTGTCGCCTAATCAACAAAAAGCTCTAAATCTTTTTTTCTCTTCTGTTCTGTTGATACTTGTTTGATTCTGTTATGATAGAGTAGCAGTTGGCCATTTTCTTGAATATTGTTGGCCGCAATGTATGTAACAGAGTAATTCAAGAGCATTTTCAGCATTTTGTTTAAACAGTAATTAGACACTTAAATAATGTATTAATGACAATCAAGTCATTATCGCAAGTTCCTTCAAACATCACCTCACATTACTCCAGCAGAGATCCTGCAAAGCAATAGATTCTACCCATACTTCGAGGTAGATATCTGAACACTTCTTTCTCTTGATTTCTATATAGGTTTTTAGGTGTTATTTACTAGATCCATCTCTATATAGGAGTGCATTGGGGTCATAGATGTCTTGCATATCCCCTCTCAGGTGCCTGCACAAGATCAATCTAGATTTCGTAACAGAGGATGTTCCAACACAAAGTAGCCTGCAGATTTGATCTCCAGTTTATATGTGTTTATCCTGGTTGGGAAGGCTCAGCTCCAGATTCTCGGGTGTTGAGAGCTGTCGTTGGGGATCCTGATCAGAACTTCCCTCAAGTTCCTGAATGTTGATAATGGTTGCTAAGCTTCCTATATGATGCGTTTCCTTATTTTAATGGTGATAAATCCTATTCATGTATCATTTATATGCCAGGTAAATATTGTCTTGTTGATTTGCGTTACACTAGTATAGAGGGATTTTTTGCTCCATATGGAGGAGTTCGGTATCACCTGCATTAATAGCAATTCTTTTATCTAGGAATGCAAAGGATTGTTCAATCACAGACATGCATCTTTGAGCAATGCCATGCTGAAGTCTTTAAATGTTCTAAAAACAAGATTCCCAATTCTCAAACTTCCTCCTCAGTATGCTTTTCACAAGAAGAGGGATCTTGTCATAGTTGCATGTGTATTGCAGAATCACATTCGACCAGAGGAGAAAAATCAGGTTGTTTAACAAAGAAACTCGATTGCGGCAGCAATGTGGAATGATTTCATCAATAAATAGGATGAATGTGACCATCAACATTCTGCTCCCGGTTGTATGTAGGACATATTTTGATAAAACTCTATGTTTGTTTTTTCGTCCCTACTCCACTGCCTGGTTTTGGAGGGGACTCTTTTGTTCGCCTTCTATCTTTATCTGTAGAATTTTGCTGAAGTACTCGAAAATGCTTGACCAAGGAGGTGACATTCTCTCACATTGCCGCGGGTCCCATTTGAATAAAAAAAATGCCGACCTCCTGTGTATGTGTGTATTCGGTCAAGCTCTATGTCACCGCCTTTGTTGCTGTAGCTTTGTCCTTATTAGTAATGCTAGTATAACGTCAACTCTTGCTAGACATACGTTTTTAGCAGTCAGTCTGAAGTCATTTTGTCAAGATGCAAGAGAGCTCTATTGATAGGATTAAGATTACAATGTCAAATGGAGGTTAATATTCTGTCTATGCATTATGATTAGCATGGTTAGTTAGAGAGATGATCTCAAATCTAGTGATAAATATAGTGTGTTTCATTGAGGAAATAGTGGCCAATAGCCGGTTGACCCGGCCATTTTTTCAAAGTGGCCTTTGACCAATTAAAAAAAAGAAAAAAAAAGCAAAAATGTTTAAAATTTTGAAAATCAAGAGAAATCCAAATTTATCCTTACTATTTAAAGAAGAAAGAGAAGATAGTAAGGAAAGAGAAAAAATACTGTAGCACTGATAAAAAAGGAAAAATAAACGATCCATATTTAATGTTTTTATGTTGATATTTGGAAGAAAAAAAATATGATTTTGTATACATGTGTTGATTTTTTTAAAAATGCATGATTTTTGGGTAAGGATAATAGTTTGGGAGGAGGAAAATGGAGTGGAGATCGACGAAAATGGAGTTTTCCGGCGATCTCCACAAAGGAGACGGTTAGCCCAGCTGACTGGGCCGTTTAGGCATGCCCAGATGACCCAGACTCACCCAGACGGCCCAGTTGACTGGGCCGTCTGGGCGCCAGTTGACTGGGCCGTCTGGGCCAGTCAACTGTGCCCAGACAACCCAGTCAACTGGGTCGCCTGGGTGCCCAGTTGACTGGGTCGCTTGGGCGACCAGTTGACTGGGCCGCCTGGCGCCCAGACGGCCCAGTCTTCTGGGCCGACAGTTTTCTAGGCCCAATTTTTTTTTTTAAATTACTTATTTATTTATT